CCATCAAGTCAAACTGTTTTTCTTCAAACTCTTAAGCAGTGTCCACTATGAAGAGGTTCAATACCAGCAAAAACCGTTCCGCGGGACCGTGAAAAAGTGTCCACTATACGGAGGTGTCCACCATGTAGAGGTTCGATTCCAGCAAAAATCGCTCCGTCGGACCGCGAAGTGTCCACTATAGAGAGGTGTCCACTATGGGAGGTTTTACTGTACCTTAAAATTTTGTCTACCAGTATAAACGATTGAGTTGAATTGAATTCAACTTTCATATATAACACTACTGATAGAACTCGATCATCTGAATTCCGCCCCTTCCCACTGTCAAAATCTACTAGCTTAACGATCTACGGATTAGTTCGGCTCAGATGACTGGATGGTTAGATTTTGCTGACATAAAAGGAGCAGACTAATATGCTTCTAAATTGTAATAAAATATAATATACTTACAGTATCATCTTCAATAACATGTGACGGTCGAATGAGTTGAAGCATTTCATCGATTTGTTTAAGATATTTTAAAATTTCTTCACTATTTAAATAAGTTTGTTCGCCTGTTTTTTCATTAGCTTCATTAAATTTAAGTGTTAAACTATAAAATAAACGTAAAAATTTCATACGATATATTAATTGTTGTGTTGAATTAATATCTAATTGATTTAAATCTGCTTCATGTTTTAATGAACGTAAACGTTTATTTAATTCATCTTCAGATTTTTTTAAATCAATTAAACATGTTTGATCTTTAATAATATCACGATAAAATGGAAAATTATATGTTAATGTTCCACTAAAATCTTCTTCTTCAAATAAACCCGCTTTTAATAAAATACGTTCACGTATATAATCAATTAATTTAATAAATGTAAAACATATTGTACGTAAATAATAATCATCAATTATTGTTACATCATGTAAATAAACACAAGTAAATAATGTTAATGCAAGACTATGTCCATCAAGCCACATATGAAATGTTGATAATAATTGATCAAATAAATGCATTAATTCCATAGGTGTAAATTTTGTTATTTTTAATAATTGTTTATCAATTAATTGTTTTAATGTTAATATACGATTACCTTGTTTTTGTTCTTGAAAATGATTTTTTATTGACATACCACCATCCATTTTTGGATCCATTAATTCAAGTGCTGTCATTGCTTCAAATAATGAAAAATCTCTATCACGTACAACTTCACCAGTCGGTAAATGACGACATAAGTCAGCAAATTTGCTTGTGACATCATTCCAATTATATGTCGTATCTCCTATTGTTTCTTGCATTTAGCACCAAATTATAACGACCTTATATCTACAGAAAAAAAAAAAAATAATTAAAACTAAATTGTATCACTAAAAATAAAGTTGATTAAAAACTTCTTTTTTTTTTTTACAAATCAGAAATATATATACATATATAAATTATTGAAATATTTTATAATTTGCATGCTGTTGTTGTTTTTGTCTAAAAATTAAGAAATATGGGAATCGGACCATTGTTTGTGGGTGTGAGTCTTCTCTCATCCAAAGCCACATGCCATGCCCACACTCATATAAATAAATGTTGTGCTGAGTAACTGTTCTAAATCCTTTATATGAGAATCAAGCATATATTTTATCATTAGATTCTATGAGAACGAACATATGGTGTTTGAATACAGATAACAAGACGAAGTTAATCCTATTCCTATATTTCGATATTAGTATTATTTCAAAATAATTTTCAATAAATTTTAATTGACTTTTTTGATGTTCATAAGCATTGTACAATACCGAGATTTGTTTATTAAAAAAAATATTTATTTTTCATCTATGTAAAATTGTATCAGTGTGTTAACTGTTAAATGTACAGTGTTTTACCTAAATGTCTCTCTGTAATAGAAGATCGTGAATGTTCGATTGTGACTAATCTATTTTCAAAAAGTTTAATTAAAATAATTTTTTGAGAAATTAATCAATTAAGAGATTTTCTATTACAGAGAGATATTTAGATAAAAAATGAGTACTTGTTTCTATTTTCAATTTCAAAGCTACATGAACACGATCATATGACAAACTTGATAGTAGAAAAAATTTATTTACGTAATCAATATTTGATTTCGTATTTTTCTACTACACATTCACCGGCTTCCAAGATATAAACACGACGTATCCCAATCGATTAATCACTTTCTAGTCGAGACTATAGATCTTAATTTATTACTACATAGATATTCTACTTTTTAAGGAAATACTGCAGTTTCCGACAGAACCACCACGAAAACTGATTTTCAAATTTTAACTTAAAAAAACTTAGCCTAGAAACAAACATTACTAAGAATAGTTTATGGTGAAAGTTTTAAATCTTTTCAATATTTCTATTATGATAAAAGTATGTCTTACACGGCGCTCGTATACACGACAGTTTTCTATGTCTCTTATTTTAGGATAGACGCAACTCAAAAGAGCCGAAATTTTTACAATAAGCTATTCTCATTCAACCCTATTTCTCTACTAAGTTCCAAATCCAAAGTTGAAAATCAGTATTCTTGATGTGTCTGACGGAGACTGTGATATTGACTTAAAAAATGCAATATCTTCCTAGTAATTAGCTAAGCATCGTTATTGTCTTGACTCAAAAGCAATCAATGAGTTCCGAAACTTCTCTTACTAACGGATGAGTCAGATGAAATGGCCCTCTCAGTATTTTGACTATAACTTTTTTTCCTTTTGTTCTTTAGAGCTAATTGTTTTTTCAAAAGATGCGCCGTGAAATTCTCTGTAAAATCATAATCAAACTTATTTGTGTA